ACAGACTGGGGAATATATACTGTTGGCCCGATTCTTTAGTTGGAAACTTGAGAATAAGCCAGAGTAGATCAGAAGTATAAAAAAAATGACATTTATTTGGTCACAGGCAAAGTATATCAGCGCTGGGCTCTTCACAGACAAAACCGCTCTCTGGGTTTCAGTCGGCAAAGAGCCCCGAACTCCGTGTGTCATGGGTATTTGTCTCCTGGGCTGGGCACACCCTTTTAAATTACTGGACACGACTGAGTGCTTATTGGCCAGTTATGTACTAACCCTAACCCTGACATGAACCAGCCAGGTCCTAATTAATGCAGGTAACCTTGGAATGTGGTAACAAAGTTTGGGTGTGTGGGTGTATGTGTGTTGACTTAATGACATGTGTCTAAAGCAACAGAGAGAAAAAGAGAGGAAAAGAGAATCTGTGGTTACAGCCAGAGAATTTAACACAAAAGTATAGTTCTAAAAGGAATAAGACAATCAGTAATTTACATAGATTATATGATAGCATACTATGCTAAAGTGAGTAATTATAGCCAAATTCTAACAATACACAAGACAGAGAAGGAAACAATGAGACACAGGCGTAAGTGATTAGGGAGAAGTCAGGATATCAACAGAAGGCAAGTGGAGAAACAACATTGGGACCGAAACGTGACAAGATACCCATGACTATCAGGTCTTAAAGTAACAGAGGACTCTTATGTTATTTTCAGTCCCAATTCAATCATATTGTTGATAGTGTCGAAGGCTAGCTGCGAACAGCACTCAACTCTGTAGCCCCTATAAAAAAGAAAATACTTAAACAAAGACGGTTAGCTCCATGGTATAATACTGAAACAGGCAAATGAAAGCATATATGGCAGAAACTTGAGAGAAACTGGCGTTCTGCCATACTGGAAAATTCTCATTTTACTTGGCAAGATAGTTTAAAAACTTATAGGAAGGCCCTCCGTGATGCCAAAGCAACGTATTAATCGTCTTTAAAAGAGGAAAATAGGAACAATCCCGGGTTTGTTTTCAGCACTGTAGCCAGGCTGACAGGAAGTCACAATTCTATCGAGTCAAGTATTCCCAGAGCTCTCACCTGCCACGACTTCATGAGCTTCTTTAATGATAAGATTCTAGCTATTACAAACAAAATCCACCAAGACTTGCCCTCAACTAGCACCGACTTACTTTTAAACTCAGGAACCTTAGAAACTGCTGTAAAACCAGTTGTATGTTTTGACTGCTTTGCTTCCCTCAATCCTTGCCATTTTTTTTCGATCATTTCTTCATCTAAACCATCAACCTGCATCCTGGACCCCATCCCAACTAAGCTGCTTAAAGAAGTCTTAACCTTAGTCAGCACCTCTCTACCATATGTGATCAGTCTGCCTTTATCATCAGGCTATGTGCCACAGTACTTTAAAGTATCTGTAATCAAACCTCTTTTGAAAAAACCCAACCTGGACCCAGATGCTTTAGCCAACTATAGACCTATATCTAGCCTTCCATTTATCTCCAAGGTCCTGGAGAAAGCAGTCGCCAAACAGCTATCTGGCTCTCTACGTAGCTATAGCTTATCTGAAGATTTTGAGTCCAGATTTAGAGCTCATCATAGCACAGAGACAGCACTGCTGAAAACTACTTAAGACCTCCTCACGGCTTCAGACAAAGGACTTGTCTTCGTATTGGTTTTATTAGATCCTAGTGCTGCATTTGACGCCATTGACCATCAGATCCTATCACAGAGACTGGAACATTTCATTGGCATTAAAGGAGCCGCTCTAAGCTAGTTTAGGTCCTATTTATCAGATCGGTTTCAGTTTGTGCATGTTAATGATGAGTCCTCCATGCATGCAAAAGTTAGTCATGGAGTTCCACAATGATCTGTTTTTGGACCAATCCTCTCTACGTTATACATGATTTCTCCTATTATCAGGCTCTTCAAAAAAGTCCATTAAGACCCTTCAGCTGATCCAGAATGCTGCAGCACGTGTTCTGAAAGGAACCTGTGAATGAAATCATATTTCTCTTGTCCTAGCTTCTCTGCATTGGTTTCCTGTAAAATCCAGAAGAGAAACAAACTATAAAAGTTTGAACTATCAAGAGGAACTGTAAACTTTCCAACTGATCAGTTTAGAACCACTAAACTTGATGATGACCAGATAATTTTTGCCCCAAAACTTTTTTAGATTTACATTGACCAGAGTAACAGCGTTTGCACAGTCAATGCCACCATGATTCTTTGTTTCTTTGAAAGCAGTAATTCAAAACATTCAGTGTTTTAAACTTGAGCATGTACTTTAAGAGGACTGTACTTTGGCAAGAGGCAATTTGTTACCACGCTGGATGCTCAGTCAATCCACCACACAAAAGATGACTTTTTATCTCTTTGGTTTTGTCACCTTGATTGCTCTCTCAAAAAAGCTATATATTGTAGTTTTCTGAGTAAGCATCAACACCTAATGGCTGAACGTCTCACCCATAAACAGGACCAAATCTTTAAGTGCTACTGGACAGGCTGCACTTCTCTGGGGAGTGTGTGGAACCTAAATGGAGGGATTTTTTCCATTATACCATTACTGATGTCTGTGACTTCGTGGAAGCTTTTTGCAGTTTGGGGCTGAAGTCATTCCCTTTCAGCCTGGATGGGTCTGAGATTGGGAGCACTGCCGGTAGGCAGAAATCTTCCAAGGTCATTTCTGTAACTGAAAACAAAAGCCATATAAAAATAGTCAACTGAAATACTTATTACTTATATGTACATTTAAAAAGACTTGATATCAAACTATTTCACCATGTACTGAGGTTAACCAGCAAATAAGTTACTTTGAGGCATACCAAGATGAATTCATTTATTAGCTGATAAACATGACACAATATTACTTCCCTTTCTATCAGCTTGGTTGAAGCTTGCTGACAGTTCTGCTGTGTCACTTTCAGAAAGCTGACTGCTGACCTAATCTGTGACTACAAGCCACTCTGTTTTGATCTTATTTGCTCTCTTCTTGTTCAGTGCAACCATGTATTGATACATTTTTTCAAAGACAGTCTTCATTCTTGGATTCTGGTGGTCGATTTTAAAGCGAACTACTTTTTTCAACAGTTGTGATAAAATTAGTTTAAATCAAAGTACAACCATTCTTCAAAGAAGAGTTCATGCTGTGCATTGTTCATCCTTACCAAATGCTTCACTCGGTTTGATAAATGTGGTGAAATATTTGCTAAAGTTACTGATTCTAAGTAAAGTGCAACCTTGAGACTCTCACAAGACTGCACATCAGTCAAGACAGTGGCCTCAGAGCACAAGGTTACATCTAAAGTTGATGCTTGGAGAATGTGACTGATCACATAAAGGTAATTTCAGGTTGAGTTTCCTTATTTTACCCACAGCTAGCAGGAAGATAATGCATTTTAGTATGAAGGGTGATTCCATGAACCAATCAAGTAGTAATTAATGTTACTCTGTATATGTGTAAGTTAATCTCATGAATACAATAGTTTTCAATTAAAAGTCTCTGTGAATGTTTCACAAATAAACATAAAATAGAGACACAAATCTAGCAACACTTAATCCTTATTTTTGCTCACTGTATTGCTTTATTTTTCCGATTTGGTACACCATATGATTTGATTATTATCTGCATCTAGCCTATAGAATAAAATAAACTTTGCAACTATCAAGCAGATGAGATTGTTAGATGTTCATTTATGTCCTTGCTCCAGGTACTGCACTGATGATTGACCATTTCCTACTGAGAAAACAAATGAATTTGTCATTTTAACAGTGTCAGTTTTAAATGTATAAATGTCTAATAGTGTTCTGTCTTTAAAAACAAAAACAGAAAAAACACCATAAACGAGGCAAATATATGAGTGACGAGTCTCATGCTCTTTAAGAAAAGCTAAACAGATTCGGAATATCATTTTAAGAAGTTAACTGAAGAAAGCAAGCATGGTATGTGTGTGTATATATACAGTATGTATGTGTAAACAGCTACTGGGAGCTAAAAACTGCTGCTGCTTAATAGCTGTGGTATTTAAAACCAGATAAGTGTTAAAACCAAGCGCACTGCAACAGAAGTTAGTTTTATTAATAGTGGCATACCATAAATAAGGAACAAGGAACCCTTTTTGCAACACGCGCCTGATTTACGTTGAAAGCAAGGTATTGGCTGTACAGGTTTACGTCATTTCCGAACGGCAGATGGTCACAGCACAACAGCCGCGCCACACACAGTCGGTGTAGGTCCTTTCGCGGAGCTGGTAACGGAATATTCGAGGGAAGCCACGAAAAACGCTTCTTCTAACAGTGGCCGCAACGTCGTTTTGAAATAAAACCGCGAATCCATTTGGGATATTATGAGCTCTTCGGATCCTACAAACGGAGCACAAAAAATAACTTTTTTCAATATTACTCCTCATTTTTACCATCAAGGAGCTGTTTAATATTTCTTATTACGGTCTGTCTGGAACAGTGGACGATATACGCGTTGCTATTTTTTTTTTTTTTTAGTTCTGGTGTTGTGTTGTGCCCTCGAGTGGAGCTGTTGACGGCAAAGTGGACACCAGAAAAGCGGCAGCTCGGCAACCACCTGACGTCCTGGAAAATAAGAAGGTAGCTAATGACACGCAGGCTGAGAGCCTTACGTGGCGCATTAAGCTCTCTGACTATTCCCAGGGAGTTCAATTCGCGGTGTTAGCATGACCAATGTTGACGTTAAAGTTACCGAATGCGTAATAACTTGCAGTGCAGATGATTTTTGTCCAAGCAAAAGAATTGGAACAGTTCGAATTATTATTTTTTGATGCCGAAATTGTGTCTCTTAAGGCAACCAGTCTTATTTTTGAGTTGCAGTTCTGTCAGAGAGCACATATAATGAGTGCGACAGGAGTCCGAGTCTCCCAGCATTCGTGATGCCAACTCCCGGTGTGATCCCGCGCCGCCGACCCGTGATGCGTGCTCTGTAACCGGGAGCAGTGTGGCGCCGTGTCCCGCTCCTCACACCGCCAGCATGAGCAGCACAGACCTGGAGCGCATGTCGCTCAGCTCCTCGGCGAACTCGGTGGCTTCCAGCGCGCGGACGCTCTCGGCCAACGTGAGGAAGCTCCACAACGCGCTCAACCTCCTGCTGAACGACTTCGAGCGGGAACAGTTCATCCACTGCCTGAACGTCTACCACTCCAAACGCAACGTGTACGACCTAGTGCAGACCCTCAACGTCATCCTGAACGCTCCCAGCAAGCGGCAACTTTTGCCCATGCTTAGGTTGGTCATCCCCCGCTCTGACCAACTGCTCTTCGAGCAGTACACCTCGGAGGGTCTTTATTTAAAGTCGGAATTGGTTGCAAATAATGGGAACGCGGAACCACCGGCGCCCATGGAGTTCCCCAGCGTTAGCCCGACGCCCTCCGGGCAGTTCTCGCCCAACGACCCGCCGGAGTTCCAGGTCGCCCTGCGGGGCTCGCCGGACAGCTTCAGCACCAGCAGCGACGGGACAGCTCCCCTGGTGCCGCTACTCGGGAGGAATTTTATCCACGAGCCCCCGGGCGAGCTACGGCAGGTCGCCATGAAACGGCACAAGAGCAACGAGGGCCTGGGCTTCAGCATCCGCGGCGGCTCGGAGCACGGGGTCGGGATCTACGTGTCCCTCGTGGAGCCCGGAAGCCTGGCGGAGAAACAGGGCCTCCGGATCGGGGACCAGATCATGAAAGTCAACGACAAAGTCTTCGATAAAGTCACCCACGCAGAAGCAGTAAAGGTGAGCTTCGTATTCGACTTTTTTTTGTACACATAAAAAGATGCAAATAGTTTTTTAAACAGCAACAATAAAACAGCTGTCACTTGTCCTAGGCAGGGGGCAGAGGCTATTTGTTTGGCTTTGTCCTCTATTTGGCCTGAGGGATTAAAGTTGACCTCTTGAAGATAACAAGCCATGATTTGTTGGGAATTAATTTATTTACTGGAACCATATTTTTTTTTATTTACGGCATCAGCGTGAGGGATTTACAGAGTAAACTGTAGCTTACTACTTCTAGGAAGCTGGCATGTAATTACACACCCTCAAAGCAAATGGTAACCATAGAAGCGCTATGTGTGTGTGGAGAAACTACCAGCTGAGAATATAAACTGAAAGTTAAGTCACTGTTGACCTGTTAATCTTTCGATATGTACATTACCGTAATTGAAAGTCTGTTTTAAAGACAAGAGTGAAATATGAAAACACAGCTTTCAGCATGTAAGCTGTCTGTGGTGCTGAAGGACATCATCTCAATTTTCTTTTTCTTTTGCTGACTTTTTCTTTTAATCACTATCTCTTTTCCTTTTTGTCAATCTGTTCAGGTTTGTGATTGTGTTTGTCCACTGTGTACTCCATTTTAAATTGATAACGCTTTTTTAGCAAGGTACAAGTAATCTTTGGTAAGGTGTCAAATGTGTATTATGCCATCACTGCTGCCTATCCCGTCACTGTTATTAGCCTGACAGGGCAGGCTTCCAGCCAGCACAAGAACAGTTCTTTCTGAGCCAAAGTACCCTGGAGGTTAGAAATGCTTTAGCTAAGTTAGTCTTTTCGGTTTAATCATTTAAACTTTCAGAGGTGTAATCACTTTGCTGCTACGATCTCTAGCCAAAATAATGAGGACTGTTGTTTTGATCTGGTGTAGTGCCACCTTTACTTTGAGGATTACAGTTGAGATTCTCTGAACAAGCAGAGTGTGTGTTGCTGTGTATGTAAACAACAATGTAACTTGTTATCTGTACAAAAACTTTTCACTTTAGAGAATTGGAGTTAGACTATTGAGTTACCAATTGATTGTTAAAGTGCTTTTTTCTCGTTTGAGCACACTTAAAAAAACTGACCATGATCGATAATTTGGAAAAGCCTTAATAGTAGCTAACTGGTGGGATTATAACTAAAAAACATGTTTTCACCATTGCTGATATTTTGGACAGTTACTCAAGTCCTCACTGTGGTATATTATAGTCTGGCAGCTTAGTCTGTAAAGAGATCATGGAATGTATGCTTCTGGCACATTTGACAGATAAAATAAAGCTGGTGTCTGCATGCTCTTGATGAATTCAGCTGTGACAGCAATCTATCTCATCCAGTCTCCTCACCTTCCGAAACACTCAACACAAACAGATTATTTACCCTAAGAAAGCTCCAACATTCAGACTTTTGGCTCATTGCTGGTCCTGCGATAGACTGGAATAAGTGTTATAGCGGTATAGAAAATGGATGGTTTATTGCTGAAGTTTTAGATATAAGTAGGGCACACAATCTATCAAAGATTTTGATTTGTAATCAGCCAAACCATCAAATAACATAATTTTAAGTACTTAGAGAAGAAGGATGTAGCTTACACTGATTTAATGATCACTTATTATAACAATTCTAATATGTTATTCTAATATATGATTTTAATGCATATGTATATCTATGTATATTATGATATAAAAATATATTTGAACAAACAGGTAAAATAATTAGAAAAACATGTATATGTGATTTGTTTATTTAACAAAGTAATGGACACTGGTCCATTGATACATTCCTTTTTATAACCAGTCCTGACACCACTTTTATCTCCAATGAATTTGGTGATGGATCTACCAGAACAAAATTGTTTATTTCTACAGTCAACAATCTTTGTTTTATAGCATCAAATTCTACACTGAAGTTGGCCAATAAAATGACTAAAACTGAATTTTTTGTTGAAGTAGAATTCTCTGAGTCATTCAAGCTCAAACTGAAGCATTTTGCATTTAATGGAAAGGATACCAGTGCATGGGATCTTCTAATTAAATTAATAGCGGTCCATAATAAGTAACTGGAAATCCTCCAGGGCATGCACTCTGGTCCAAGCCTGCATATTATCCAATGTCAAACAAGACAGCCTCTGTCAAAGCTGTGGAATCATCTCCAAGTTGTGAATTAGTTTATAGTTGAACGAGATTTCCGCTTGCTTCCCACCATCTTATCAACACACTCAGCCATAGCTGTCTGCTCCAGGCTACCCTGCCCCCAGCCCTCTAACCTGTGGCCAAAGCCTTTACATATCAGTGGGTCTGGCAGCAGCCATCTTTATGTGTTGCTCAGAGTTTATACCCTCCAAGTATCTATTCTCCTTTTTCGACATGGTCCCTGTTCCAATCCGACAGAAAGCTAGAAAAACGTTCTTATGATTTCAATAGACACTATCTATAAAATAACTACAAATAACTATAGTTAAATTGACCCTTTCAATTCTGTCTTTGTACCCTTTTAGCTCTTCCCTACAGTCTCCTTGGTCTTCAACTTAATCAAATTAAGAGGTACAAGAGAGGCAGTCTGTGGCTCATGGCACTACAAGTCTGTATCCCTGCCTTGTTTTTCAGGCTCTGGCCGTGATAAAACAATTTATGTCCCAATCCCCTATCCTGTCACTTCACCTCACAGTAGAGCACTCCAAAGAGAATATGATAATGAGAAGGTACGTAGGGCTGGCTAAATGCTGATGTGGCAGCCAACCCTGACAAGAAATGGGGACTGTGGAATACTCTTGGGTAGAGTAAAGACAGAATGGAAGAGGGCAGGTTTTCTTTTTTTTAATTAAACTTCAGAAAAGGTTTATGTTGGGGAAAAAAAACAATGAGAATATGTCATTTTCTCACACATAATTTTATGACAAGGCGCTGAGACTTAAAGTCTCCCACCTTTCGTGTGGTTTGAGCATCTTTTCGGAAAGAACCAAAGTATCTGCATATTCAATCTCCAGCTGCAAGATTTCCTGCCGAATGAAAGTCTTGCTCTTATTTTTTTCTGTGTGTTTGATAAAGTAGGAAAGTCTGTTTCTTAACTTCAGGGAGTTTTGGATTGTTTCTTTAACTTCTATAAAAGAGGAATTCTTGACGGAAGTGCATCCCTCACTGCTGAGTTGGTCTGGGGACTGAATCATCTGTCAAGCTGCCAAGAATCACTGCTTTCACAGGATGACATGATGAAGGGGAAAATGGCTGAAAAATGATAACAGAGGAAATAAACCTGACCTCTTCAGGATGCTGACAGGAAAGTATGAGAGTGACAGACTAGCTGTGCTCCCAGCAGTATAACTTTAAATAATTTTGCATTTCCTTTTAGATTTGTGCTAATGTTTGTGGGACGCTATGTAAGATGGAATTTTAAACACAATGCTGTGATTTTCCTGTGACATAGCCCAAATGTATTCTTCTTAGTCTCAATTAAGCACAGAAAACATATGTTAGCTTTTGGTTTCCCCTGTATAAAGAAAAAGTTTTCACATTTTCTAAAGCTTTTGATTGCATTATGTACCATAGATCTTAATCCTTGGCTGAAAAACAGTTTTGTGTTGGTTCTCTGAGGGTTTTATGGCTTCCTCCTGCAGACCACAACTTTGAGTTTGAGTTTTTTGCTTCTTTCTGTAGTGGCCTATGTTTTTGACGACACCCACCGATAGGTGGGAAAGGCATTGTTGGCAGGTACAGAAATTGGATTTATAGAAGATTATTGTAAAATGGCTTTGAAAATTGCAGACAGTTTTTATGACAAGGTTTACTTCTGTGAGATTCTGACTCTCCAAGGTCCTCTTTTAATTTAATCTCAAATATTACTGAACTGTTGTCACATAATATTTATTTTCGCTGCTGTGACTGTTCCTTTCTTTGTTAGTCTTTCGTTGTAGGAAATGTTGCTTCTATAAAACACAACAGCTGATGTGTATTATGTTTTATTTTAATGAAATGTTGCGTCTACAATGTCTAAGACACAGGGCTATATTGCTCCTTCTTTCTGCCATTCTCAGCCCTAATCATTTAATTCTAAAATACTCGTAGGAGAGACGATTAACCTTTAGATTTACTCACGCACATTGTAAATTGATGTCATGTATGGCACTGAATGTATGAGGGCCTTCATATTGTTTAAAAAAGCAGCAGTAGGCCCCTGAGGATACACAAAAGGATTTGTAAGTAAACCAAGCACTGTTTTTTTTTCTGAAAGACTCTGAAAGCCCACTGGCCTACATAAGATATGAATAGGTGCTCTCCTGTAAACACTTTATACAAATGCTGATGCACTGGCAGTACCTGCATTTGGTTGTACTCATAAATGTATAACTTACTCCGACTGTTACCTCTTTCCAGTGGTTTCAGCATAAAAAATCAGTGCTAATGTAGAATTAGCCTCTTTGGCATGCTTTGAAATGGCTTGAAAAAGATTTGTGTGGTCACACAAGTTACATTTGAAAAAAAGAAAAGGTAAATTAACAAGCTATTCAATGTTAAAGAACTAATTCAAATTTCTTTTTTGCTGCTGCAGAAAATTAAAGTTCAGTATTTTCAGTGTGAATTAGTGAAGGGAATTTCACAAGACTTTCACATTTCGTTAGTTTGCCGGAGTGAGTTTAAACTGATTTAATTCATTTTAATGGTAGTGCATAATCCCAGATTAGATTAGATTTCATAAAAGCAGTTTCATCAGTTTTATCTAATTGTATGTAAGACCCATATCATTAATTTTCTTCATTCAGTTTCTCATGTTTTAAAAAGAATCTTCTGATTATCATTTCATGTGATCATTTGCTCTTTTTAATACAAAAAACCCTTGAAGCATGATTATTTTGTTTAACTTATATGCTTGTACTTACTTGTCATTATATGTGTTTTGGCACTCAGTTGTCTCTGTCAAAATCCTTTGACAATTGTTCTTCCCATCATAAGAAGTCAATATACACAGATCAAGAATTGCAGTAGAGCTCGAACTCTGGATTAGTGTTGTTGCTGTTGGATAACATCCGA